GTATATGAACACTGATTAAATTTAAAAATATTTCTTTCCATTTTAAATAACATTATTGTTTTATTATCTACTTGAAAAATATATAAATTATTATAAGAAAAAAAAAGTTTTTATAGTGACAACTTTTTACATTTTAACCGTTCATGTGATAAGGATGATAAGTGATTGTCTACGATTTCCTACTGATCGATGAATACATGATAATGACTAGGGTTTAAAATCTAAAAGTATGTAATAATACCTACTGGGTGGTTTTATTTTACAGTTTATGTACTTGAGAGCTAAGACTTATATTAATTATATTTATTCAGCTCTCGTGTCATATAATATATCAATTACCGAAGAATATTATTTTAATTATTTTTGACAAATCTCGTTTGTGGTTAGTAATTATCGGATTAAACTATCATAACACAATTAATATTAAACTGCAACCTTTCGTTTCTGAAACGCTGCGTCTGATATCAATAAGATATATATTTATCAATAATATACAATTTGTTTAAAGATAACAATATATTAATGCGAAGATTTAATAAAAAATAACAATCGTTATTCATATTATACTAATAAATACTAATATTATACTTACATAGTTATGTATATAATATATACGCATTTATTTATAACATATTAATTAGTAATTAAAGTTAAATATTACATTTTATATAGTATTCTACAAAGTTTGTATTATTTATTTGTATGTACATATATAAGTGCTTAAAATGAAACGTATATAAGTTTAGAATTAAATTTAAAATACAAGTAATTATATCACAAATCAATGATTATATTAATTACCCTGTGAAACACCCTCGAAAAAGTAAAGCAAAGGTATTTTTTGGGTTGGTAACTTTTAATCACTCTAATGATAGTTTTGTCGTTTTTCTAAACTAAATTAAAGTTTTTCGAATATAAAATCGAAAAGTGTAAGGCAAAAGATATGTTTAGTGTAGAACTATCATATTATAGGCTGATTAATTTTTTTTCAATAGAACATGTGATTCGTAAAGTACACCGTGCACACTAAACCATCTACTCGTGTATGATTGCAACAGGAAAACAAAACCATAATAACGTGTTTTTTTGTGTAATACTAATTTTAAAATTGAGTAATAAATAAAAATGTATTTTTTACTGTATGGAAAAAAATCATATTAGGAAATACCTGAATCAGGACTGATATTAAATGATTTAAAAAAAAAAAAACATAAACTCTCAAAAAAATAAACGCATAACTCATTATTACAACTGGTTTATAATTAATTTTTCTATTCGTATCCATATAGTGTCTGCAATCAATTAAGAAGTGGTTTCAAAACGGATTGTTTCTAAGGTTAGATATTTTGCATATTTATATATATATATATATATATATATATATATATAGATATTTATAGCCGAAGGTGCTAATATCTGTTAAGTATTGAATGCGAACTGTGCAAATGACTACTAATATCGAAGAAGAATGTCTCTAATTTCATAATTTAACACTCCCAAATTACATGGGAAAATATTTATTAAGAATATTATGATATATCACGATAAATCATAATTATTATGCATGTGTAATTAATCGATAAAACCTATATAATACGTATGTACACGGTTACATACAAACAATTTAAAAAACGTCTAAGAAAATAACGAAAAAGAAAAAAAAATGTACAAAATATAACAAGCTTATAATAGCGAATTAATTAGATAGCATTTTACGAGATTTTATGATTTCATGTAAATTAATCGCACGTTAGTATTAAACGGATTTATAAACGTTAACTAATCACGCAAATATTCAGTAAATAATTTAGTAAGAATTCATTTCAAACGGAGCATTAATCAATTTCCGTATGTAAATTTCCGATCGTATATTAATGTAGATGATTGTGTTTTAGCCGATTATACTTAAAGTTAATAGATTATTTTAAGTCCGAAAAAATCGATATTTTTGTAACATGTGTAGGATTTTATTTTAGTTTTGTCGATACCTACCTGCATAAATAAAATATTTTACAAAGTATTGAAAGTCAGGTTAATATAAATTTCATATAGCTTTTTTGTGTTATATATAATATTATATCCTATTGTACTAATATTTTTTTTTAATGATTTGGAATTATTGTCATATCTATTTCATAAAATTTATTTATGATTTAATTAAACTTATACCGTTTTTACCAACAAAATGTTCGTAGTCTAGAAAATACAAATATTTAGTGGACTTCAATAGTCAATAACCAAAACTATTAATGTATAGATAAGTACTAAAAGTGTGTACATTTAGTTTATCCGGTTGAACATCGATCGAATTTGACATATAATTTTGGAATTTGTTTTCTAGTATATGTGTTATAAAATTGATACCTTAAAAATGATGAATCTGTCAAATTATAACATATAATAATACATTTGTAGTAAATTATTTAATAATGTACAAGCATACGTTTCTCGGTGGTATATAAGATTATTCCAAAAGTATAAGTTGTTCTCTTATCTGTTTTGGATCGATATTGCTACATGGGGAGCACTTAACTAATTTTTTCATATTTGAATAAAAAAAAAAAAAAAATCTCTGTATTTTAATTATTTTTCCATGTACAACTCTAGAGAGCAACTTAGTGGTTATTATAATATAATATATATTATCATTACACACACGATAATACTTAACTACAATGTACGCCAATTTCATTTCCATTTTCGTCTACGACTAATTCTATCTTTACTCTATGCAATATTGTAATCTTTATTATAAATATTCTTGTGATCATGACACCAATTACATACGCCTGAGGCAAAAATTATATTTTACAGCTATTTAAAAATACTGACGGAATTAATGAGTACCTAATATTTTAGGTTAGGTACTACTTATAAGTAATTAAAATATAGCTCGAAACATGTTTTATTATTAATATACCTAATCATACTCAATATAAACTGTGTAGCAAATTGTATCCATTTCGTAATATGTATATAATAGTATATTTATATAATTTTAGATTTAATAGTTTTGAAAATAATTTGTTCCCGGCAATAATGAAATGTTTACATATAATCTATATTACGTTATTACCTATAAAACAGACTTTTATATAGGCTTTACCTCCGTCTTGGTCCCTCAATAATATCTATAAATTTATTTTTAATGATACTCTACTTCGATTGAACTAAACAGGGTTTTTATCAGTAGATCAAAATATTATTATTTAGGTAAAACAAATAAAACCATAATAATAAGTAACGTTACAGAAATAGTAAGATTTGTTTCACCCTTTAATTATTCAAAGAATAAACTATATAATTGTGTATTCTGTTATTATTTATGCAATTCTTAAATCCGAAAGTTATTCGATTTTATTGAAAATTAAAAAAAAATATATAATATTTGGTACTTGCAAAAATGGAGGAATAAATAATGTAATTTAAATAAATTACTGACGTCAATGAACTTGTACATAATTTTGTTATAGATTTCAATGTAAAACCAATTATTCTCCGAAAAATATATATATCTTTAATTATTTATGTTAGAAAAAAATTAAAAGAATTAACGGGATTACAACGGGATATATAGTGACTTATTTTTATGAATCTGTTGTGAATATTAAAAAAGATCAATTGCCATTTTCATTTGACCACTGCAAACGAACTTTTGCTAACAGTACTAAAGGTGGGCACCACTAATTAAATTAAGTGTCAGTGTCTATTACGTTTAAAAATTAAAACATAACTTCTTTGATATTACGGTATTATTATAACGTTACTGATTTCGGTCTTAGAGTGGAGAATGACGAACTGTATTCAGGTTTTCCTTTTACCGAGTTTTAATAAGAATACAATGTTATATTACTATTCGCCAGAATGACGATAACCAAGCACGTCCAGTATGAATGTGTGTGTTCTTCGGTCGATTAACTATTACGTTTAAACGATTTTTTTTTCCGTACCATTTGGATATTTTCCGTAATTGGTTCATTCGGCGTTTATAAAAAAAAAAAAATAAAAAAAATAAAAAAATCATTAAGTTGGCCCGTGCGCAGAGGAAATATTATATTATATTTTTCTGACGTTTCTTAGTTGAAATGAAAAAACTTACAGATCTGATGTAGTTTTCTAAAACATAAAGTAAACACAATGTCTGTTGAATGTTGACGGAAATAGAAAATTACTAGCTTATAGTTATTTTATGAGATTATTTTAATTTATTAGACGTATTACCATATGACCTATATAGATGTGCTTATGATAATATTATATTTTATCATGCGTTAAATATACAGAAACGTATAGTTTTATTTTACATTATGTATACGTGGAACATATAAATCACTTTAACACGTATTTCCGTTCCTCCGGGCCCATCTGATGCTAATCGAAATCCAAGAATACGAATCGATTCACTGACTATTATCTTTAAACACTGTTGCTCGTACATATTGGTCGCATTATTGAGTCGCATCTTATACCGTTAGTCTGTCGGTTAAGCTCGCGAGTGTACTTGTTTACCGTACAACACGATTTTTGCAGGCTACGCAATTGAAAAATCAAAACGTAAAAATTACTTCCTGCAATGGTGGTTAGAATATCGTTCAAGTTATTTTATATACGGTACATTTTTACGTAAAATGCCTAACACCCGGAAAATAGGCTATAAAGTTAATGAAACGGCTGCAGGTTTTGAACTTTTCCGCAACATTCAAACGATTTCCGCAACATTCAAACGATTTCCGCTGTTACGGCGGAACCCACGATAATGATTTGCGTTTTGTACTTCACGTTTACCTGACAATTTACGTATAACACTCAAATCTACTTTAGTTGCTTATACATTTCGACAACCATTAAAAGTTTACCAAACGACATTTTTTCAACCGCATCAAACCACGTGTACAACATAATACCATTCGTTGTCAATCCTCGTGAAAAGAGAAGTAAAGTAATAATATAATTGGATACATTTGTTTATATGTACCATACTACGATATCAAAGACGTAAATAAAATTAACATCTTATCTATTATTATTAACAATCATCGTTTCGACCCGTCGGACACAATAAATCGCGTACGAGACACGACTCTTTACGGCACAAAAGTGAGTTATATAATGACCAAAACGGATTACATGTCATAAATAACGGAGGCGGGGTAGAGTTAATGCGATAGGAACCAAAAGACGCAGTTTCAATATGTGTGTGTGTGAATCGATCGAAATGCGTCGGAGAAAATCATCACTGGTAGAGGGTTTGGGTGCGGAGAATATGAACACCAAATGTATTGCGTTTACGAGTCGCGGCCCGTGTGTTTGCGCGGCCGTGTGGAGCGGGTGAATTTAGCGTCGCCGCTTCAGTCTTGTCGTCATACGAACGGATGGAACTTTAGGTTCTTGGCACCGGTGGCCGGCGTCAAGTGCGTCATCTCAATGGACTCGGTGCCGCTGCTCACGCCACCGTCACCGTCTTCACCGTCGTCGTCGTCGTCGTCGTCGTCGTCGCCGCGTCCGCCAGCGCCGCCGTCCTGGTCGGTAGCCGTGGGTTTGCCGGCGAACCAATCGCGAGCGTCCTGCGCGGTCGGAGGTTCTTCCGCGATGGTGGCCGAAGTGCCGGGAACGGGGGCGACGCGCGACTCGCGTGGTGGCGACGAGGACGAGGACGCGGAGGACGGTGACGCGGAGGACGAGGACGCGGAAGACGACGACGAAAGCCGTTCGTTTTGCCGTTGTCCGGCACTGCTGTCGACCGCGACTCCTTCGTCGTACACCGTTACGGCCACGTGGTCGCTTTCGTTGAGCCACTCGAGGACGAGCGACCGGTGCGACTTGACGAACCGCTCGAACAGGTCCGCGCCCGAAACGTCCGTCTGGACGGCCGCGTCCGCCGTGCCGGCCACCGACCCCCTGTGATAGTACTGCAACTGCAACTGCTGTGACTGGTGGTGGTGCTGCTGCTGTTGTGGCTGTTGCTGTTGCGGCAACGGCTGGTAATGGTGCTGCTGGTACTGGTACTGCTGGTGCGGTTGTTGGTACGAGTGGTGGTGGTGCATGTTGTACGGCTGGTGGTGTCCCGGGCTGTCGTACGTCCCGTCCCAGCCGAACACCTCGGGCGGGTGCGAGGAGCTCCGCTGCAACATGCCCGCCAGTGGCCGTTTCACGTTCTCCGGCAGATCCGGATTCGACCTGGCCGGCAACGGGTACGGGTACCTGGCATTCGTGCTAGTCGTCGCCAGCTCTTGCAACGCTTGTATGGCGTTCTTTACCTGCAACACGTGAACATATATGGGTTGAAAACCCGTTGCATCCCCTTTTCCGTCGGCACTATCGCGCGGTTGTGGCAGAAAATGCGTACGATCAGTATTCGGGGTGTACATGTAATGAAATTTAATGAAATTTGTACATGTAACTTTACATATTCTACTAAGTTACTCCCACCACCTTAGCAGGGTCATATTTAGGGGGGCACTGGCAACAACTGCCCTGGGTGCCAGTTTTTTGGGGACGCCAAAATATTGTGGTCGGAAATTTGCTCACTTGTGAATTATTGAACTTTTAAAATTATTTTGAAATTTTTACTATTATTACTTTTTTTTATAACAATATCATAAATTATTGCTAACGTATTTAATTTATTAATATATTTATAACAATATAGCTATCAGCGATCCAGAATATTATTAATATACCTAGGCCCGTATTTAAGGATAGGTAGGCACATGCCTGGGGGCGTCAAATCTCAGGGGTGGTAAAATATTTTAGCAAAATTAATTTTAAAAATACCTAATGAAAAAAAATAAAGAAAATATTATGTTTTATTATGTTATAATTTGTTTAATTTGTTAATTAAAAAAGTATTAAACGATTTTCATTTATAAGTTATATTTTAATATTAAAGATTCTCGATTATGGACGAAATAATAAGTGTTATATTATTATTATTTATTTTTGGGGAGGGGTCATAAATACGGGTCCGGGGGTGTCAAATTTTTAAATACGAGCCTGAATATACATAATATTAGTTTCCAAATTTGTTATGATAATGTCAATAAACATAAGTTATTTATAATAATATGGCGTATTATGGTATCGCGTGCGGCGTGCGGTGGCATGCCTACTACACAAAAATAGCATTGATTTTAAAATATCTAAAAAGTTTATAAGGATCCATCTCCTATATTTTCCGTGAGCAGGCCCCTAGAGGGGCGCCATTTTTTTTTTTTTTTTGCATCGGGGCGTAAAATGTCTAAATACGGCACTGCACCTTAGCGACTTTGATGCTACGGATATTAATTGTATTCACAATCTACGTACAGGTCGTTTTTTCGTTCAGTAGTCGCAGTTCCGATTGTAAAGAAATCGTTAAGAAAAAAAATAGCTACATATCCTTTCAAAGGCACCGCATGCACATTATTCACCTATTAGTGTATTGTGATTCTGTCACGATGGATTTGATAATTTATTATTATTGTTGTATCGACGATCAAAAATCGTTTTTGAGGATAAGCAAGCATTAATAACACGATCATTGAATCGAATAAATGGTTTAAAAATCAGAGCCAATAGTAACCGAATAATATCAACTATAACAATCCGGAGCATGTGGTACTGTTCAATCTATGTGACTCGCCATGTGATAGATAACAAAAAAAGGCCGGTCTCTCGAGGAGACTAATGGTTCTCTGAACGAAATATCTGCCGAGAGATCTGAAATGTTGACAGAGCTATTTGGAAGAACAGAAATAAAATTCACATCAGCTTCGGAGTGGCTAATGTCGGTATTTTAAAAACCTGAAGTGGATAATACATTTTGTTATCCAAAATCTAAATGGACCAACAAATATGTAATGTGCGACTTACCTCTTGGCTTAAAGTTGCGACGTGATAATGAAGTGATGTAACTTGGGTATCTAGTTTATCGACATTAACTTTTCTGTGTTCTATATCACTCCGGGGAAGCGTTCTAGACCTAAATATCAAATACATTTAATTAATTGAAATGCACGGCAGATCCTTTTATTGTTGTACTACTGTCGACGGGAAATATGAACTTACGATTCTCGGAATATAAAACGTTTGACTTAATTACGAGTATACATTTTAATTAGTACGTTGAGTAATAATGATTCATCATACTTATATATTTTATTTTAATATACCTAGTTCAAGAAGTTCAATAACTTAGGGTAATTTTTTTTCAACGTCATTTGACTCTTGTTTCCTTAGTTAATTTCATATGATTTTTTTGAATAAATATTGTAATTAGTTAAATTAAATCATTGTTATGAAACGTTTTAAATAACGAATTGTAAATTGTTTACAATCATTTATATGATAGTTTATTTTCTTTATTCTTAATAGTTCTGCATATTTATGTTATTGTTACATTAAGTTATTCATTTTTGTGATTGTTAGTTTTAGTAAAATGTAAGTATAAAAAGATAAGTACATTTACATTTTAAGTCTAAGATCATGGATACCATGATACTCATAGCAACTTAATTTTATAAATATTATTTATATTTAATATTAACTTTATCAAGGCGACCTACATTTTATACTCATATTACTTGACTACTTCAAAACTGAATATTATTTTACAGTATGAATTGAATCATTTATTATATGTTTAATTGATATATATATATATATATATATATATATATACGATACTACCGTTAAAGCTTTAGTTTTTGGCACTCGTATATTTTGTAAAGCAACATTTTCCTCAATTCTTAATAGTTGTCTTGAAAATTTAGTATCAGTTGATGGTATAATATTACTCGTGGTTAAATGCACTCTAATGGACTGTCTAGGGTTTTATTGACGATGGAGTATCTTCAAATTGAAAGTGTATCGAGTTTTTTTATTTAATAAAATAATAGTAAAAAAGGAATTTAGTATATCTTACTATAAAAATATTCAACAAACACGAAAATGTTTTTAAAACGTTGGTTTTCGTTTTATTTTATGTTATAATAAATATATATGTCTTATAATACATAATGCATATTATAATCGGAATATTTTTAAAAATGCTTACATGCAATATACATAGCACTTACATAAAACTCAGTAACATTTTTAAATAATTTGCATTATATTATAATAATAAAGTACGCTCATTGAAGTAACTCTTATCAATGAATTTGTTTTCTTGTAATAGGTATTTATAATTTTATATATTATACATTTATATTTTACTTATTATGGTAGATTTTTATGATATGTTTACATTAATTATAATTAAGGCTTTGACAAATATTTTAAAATAAGAATTTTATATTTATATTTTAATTTTACATGTATTATGTATACTATATTTAAATAGAATCATAATAATAAAAAGTAAAACATGGAACGATCATATACGAGTAGTTGCATATTTTCGTATCTTTTTTTTTATCTGAATATAAAACAGTTCTGTACATAAGTTATATAGCATAAGACTTAAAATTTATTCGATCGTATTCGAATTAATAATCTCTACTTATCATGTAGTACAATTTTAATTGTCGTTACTTTTTCAACATCAGTTCCTTCGAAATAACTGTGTGAGATTCCAAATTTTTCAACAAAATCGATAATTTAACATTTTACACGTGTATATTATAATGTGCACATATATTGGTGATAAAAATACATTATACTTTGAGGGAACGTACCTGTTTTGAGATAGTTTAGTAAGGTTAGTAAGGTTATGTCTGCTCGGGCTGTAACTTGAATGTATTGGTGATCGGGAAGGTGGTGATTTCGGAGATCCGTCGCATTCTTCATGTAAGTTTTCATCGTCTTCGCTTATCGACGGCAACGTTAATGTTGTTATTCCATTTTGATCAATATCCTACAAAAATTACGAACAAAATAAAAAGAAAAAAAGAAATAAAAGAAATTTTTTTAATTAAATTATATTAGTAAGTTTATTCGTTAAAATAAATATTACGGAAAACATAAAAGTAAAAATTATAATAAAGAAATGTCAAGGGCTCTCAAACTACTTCTTTGAAAACAACTTACAGTTTTCTAGTCAGTTTTAAGTATTCCCATAAAATATAAATACAAATTTGTTGTTATATACTATGCATATTATTGTACTAACCAAAAAAATCGGGGATTGCATTGAGTGTATTATAAATAAATATTATAAATTAAATGAAAATATGTTATATAAGAAATTAATTATAGTGATAAGAACAGTGTATTATGTTCTAATAAATTAATATTTTAAAGTTTATTTGAAGTGTATACACATTTAAAATGCTTTTATATGTTGATTTCTAATTGAAATACTATCATAAAACTCAATATCTCGTTGTATCATTGCAAATAATATTTCTTGGTAATCAGTTGGATTATTCAATTGTATAACATATTTTTTAGTTTGAAAAACGAAAATCCACTAAATAAAAATTATTAAAAATGTAAACAATGAATTGATACCTCCCTAAAAATTTATTTATATTCACCCAATTTATTATTATTGGTTATTAAGTCAAACAAATGATTTGAGAAATAATAATACGAGTATATAAGCATATCATGGCCATTAGAAAATAATAATTACTGATTGTTAAAAGTATAATGAAATTTACTTTAAATTTAAACAGGACATTTTTAAGCGTTCAACTGTATATAATCAACGTACTTGTATATTTAATTAGTTCCATAATAGCTATTAACGAAATTAATATAATTTGTAGGAATATTATGCTTTCAATTAAAAAAAAATATGTACTTTGTGAGGTTTAATTACTTCGGCCTCGTATCCTTCACGTATGTTGTACGTCAAGTCATGTTGTATATCATTGGCAAATTCTTGTTGATATTCAGGATAAAGCCGTAATACTTCGACCAGTCCAAGTACGTTAATACATTTCAAGTCGCAATAAGTAAGAGCTTTAACATCGCAACTAGACTTGACTACAGTGTCACCTCCTGTTCCGCCACCAGTGGTTCCACCACCGGGGACGGCACCAGTATTGCCTGAGCCACTGCTCTGACCTAGCCACATACTAATGTCGCATCCAACTAAATCGCCTTTACCTGAAAATTGAAATTCGATGTCAATGAACGTTTTTAAACTATGATTGAAAAAAACGTAAAAACAATGAAAACAAAAATCTATAAATAATTCTAAACATTTTTATTAATATAGAATGAATCTTCTGCGTGTAAAATTATTAAACTTGATATGTCATCTGATAATTTATTCGTTATACAAAAAAAACCCACTTCATCATAAATTACTTTATTAATCTTAAATAGTTTTTAGCGTATAGTATTCTTGTTTGATGTATTTCTTATGCTACAGTAAGATGTATTGTTTTTATTTTGTGTATTTGTACTCAGTAAAAATCGATTTACATTATTTAGAATTCATATTGTGGTACTCTGAGCCTTGGAGCGTGTACAAATAAATAAATATAAACATAAAATAAACGATCACATTAATCGTTAATTTATGTGTACTACAGCTTACCTAGAATAGCGACGACCATCCCGTTTTGAACGACTTCCATGGACCCATTGCACAGGTAATAAATAGATGTGAGCGCGTCGCCTTTGTGGATAAGATATTCGCCGGGAGCGCAAAAATTACTTCGTATATGCAGTGACAGCAGTTTCAGACAACCTTGCGAGGCAGATTCGAATATGGGCAATTGCAATATTTCTCGGTGCAGGTGCATAGACACGTCGCCTCTGAGCTCCTCCGGGAACTCTTTAAGCGTCTGTGGAACAGAAAAATGGGAAAAAATGCGCGTTCAGATGCGAAACAACTGGCATACAGGATCATATAATAAGAGAATTCATCAGACGCACGGCTACAATGTACTAATGCTTACAGCTCAACGGCCGTTAGTGTATTTACCTCGTGTATGTCGATGCCGTGATTGAGTGACCACATGGTCTGGAAGTAATCCTGCATCCTGTGCTTCAGTTCACTAGGGACCTGGTGCAGCGTCAAGAAGTCCTTTAGGTCTCTCCACTTGCTCTGATACAACGACCGTCGCGAATACATACGCTGGATGATGGCAGTCACGTTCCCGAACACCACGGCGTGCATAAGTGCTATATTACAAACGTACACGGTAATGACCGGACGCCGGGGGGAAACAATACATTCAGACATAAATACTACATGACAATAACACAACAGGACTACATGAGTGATTCTCGGTTTACCTCCGATTAGCATCGTAATAATGCTGAAAATCTTCTCGGCGCTGGTCGTGGCCGACACGTTTCCAAACCCTACGCTGGTTAAACTAGAACACGTGAAGTATAACGAAGTTATGTACGATTCTGAATGCGTCACATTCTCCACATTGACGTGTAAACGCTCGGCGAGAGTGTTCATCCATCCTACGCGTACAAACGAAATGTTGACATGTTATAAATTTTATATAATAAACAAGAGCTACGAATAATTAATTAATTAATTAATTAATTATTATTATTATATTTATTATTAATTAATTTATGACGTTCACGAACTGTGCTCGACCAATATTTTTGTGTGTGATTTTCAAACATTTATATGCGATTACATTTGTATGCGATTTGAGACGAATTTGCTACTTCATCAATGACATTTAAGAGCAAAACATGCCTTTAAAGACGAGTAAGCTAACTCCGTGTAACAAACCTATTTTATTTAGGTGAACTAGATTTTAATATTCAAATATTAAATATTAATTAATATTTTTTATTATTCAGTTTTTGGCTCCCCAGTTATATGGATATAAGTGACAATGAGATTATCGATACTTTAGCTAAAATGTCCTCTAATTTTACTGGTCCTTCTTTCTCTCCTATCCCTAGGTTTGAATTTAATCTGTATATTTGAATAATTTACTTGCAGTAATTACTTACTTCAGTAATTTATTATTATCTAATTTTTCTATCATACAGTTCAATCATTTACGTATACGAGGGCACCACCTTCTACCTTCTCTGGTGCCTATAAAATTAATTTAAATGATTCCCTTTTTGTATCCTGTATACAGAGGAATGTATTTGCGATCTGTCACATATTCTCTTTGTTTGTCATGTACTCTCTACTAAACGTTTGAAATTGATTTTCTCGCTTGATTATTTTTTTTTAAGCATCTGCTTTAATTTTTTCTTTAACCTAAACTTCAAGTCTAAAATGGTGAATTTAATTATCTCGTTTATTATGGAGGCTGGTTTTATTATTTAAAGGTCTCCCTTATCTTTATTGTACAATTTATCTATTTATTATTATCCTGTTACTTTAATTCCTTATATTGTATATATCGTTTATCATTATTTTAAATATTTTATATCATTCTTTAAGATATATATATTATAACTCTTGAGCTAAATAGTTAATAAAATATATTATAATAAATATATTATTTTCGTTAATATTTTATTCATAAATTTTGTTATTTTTATTTTAATACAAATATTTTGCATAAATCATCTTTCGTTATTACTAAATAATGAATGGCGTTTAAAAAAACCTTAGTCCTGAGTAGGTTACACGCAAAAATATTATTGGTGGTAACATTTTCCAAATAAAGAAACGAAATAAGTGATAGTTTTTTCACATATATGAATTATTGGGTTGACATAAAAAAAAAAAATCACTTATGTGTTTAAAATATCTTATCACTCAATGTGAAAAGTTAGACCATATTGTTTGATTAAAATTACCAAATAATATAAAGTTATTACTGTTTTTATGACATAGTTAAAATATTTTTACCAATATTGATATATCCACAAAGATTCATTAATGAGTGATATGTCAATTTTATGTTCTTAAATCATTCTTATAATGACGCTGAAACTAAAACCAGTAGGTGCTCGAACAATTGATTTTAACGGTATTGAAAATACTGAATATTGGGCAATACAAAAGTGCGTGGTTTGCAAAAAGCAAACAAAAAGTTTTGACGAAGCCCGGCCATGAAGTCCGCGTCTTGAAACGTTTTGTTTTTATTTTTTAGGTTGTCATTGTAAAGTTCTAACAGATCGATTTTTAAAATAAAAAGGAAATCATTAAAAAGTATGCTTTCAAAAAAACTTTTACCAATATTTCAGTGATGAATTATAAAAGTTATAACAATCTAATTTTGCTTTTAGAAAATGCTAAAGAATTTTACATTAAAATATTATTTGAAATTACTGATTTTCAATTATTTTGAAATTTCTAAAATTAAAAACTTAAAAAACAAGTATATTAATTAAAAAAATCTATAAATAATATATTTTATATATTAAAATGAAACCTAATAGTTTACATAATGAGCAAACCGAAGAATGTATTGGTTTTATAATGATCTTGTTCAAAAGCCTTAAAATATTCATAAAACGTGCTATTCGCAGTTGGGAATTTCAATACGGGGTTATAGGAACTTTCTAGGTGCCAAAGGTGATGTTTATAAACCATTTTAACTTTGAACATGTATATAATAAATTTAGCCATTTAGGTATTACAAATCATGTAAAAAGTTATGTTCATTTTCTTAATACAAATTTACGGCAATCTTTTATAGAAATGTCGTGGACCGTAGGTGATACTTGTACTACTATTCTAGAGTTTTATTTGATAATAAATGTTTAGTATTTGTTTAATGATTATTAACGTTACAACTTTCGTCGGCGGTATTATTATTATTATTTATTAGAGGTCGGAAAATTAAATTTACTTGGTAGCACGTAAAAATAAAAATTTTGAAGGAAAATATAGTTTTGTTACAAGCTATCGTTACTCGTATTTTATTTTGAGTAAGAACGAGGTGGCTGACGCATGAGAATACGAGACTTTCGTAAACGATGAATACTGCAACGTGCAACCCCCTCCCCTCATTATATCGATATTAAAAACAGCTAATGTTGGAATAAAATCACGACAGCAATATTTAATGCGTAAAGACGAAAAGACTTATTAATGTATATGTTACCCAGCTCGGTGATGGGGTACGGGCTCGATTAAAAATACGAGTTGTACGCTTTCCCGTCATATATAAAACATTTTAACATAACTGTTGTACCGTATTACATAGACATTATCTTAACTCATTTTGGGATATGCGAAGTGTTGCGCAACTGTGTATCCACACGGATGTGTTGTGTTAAGCTGTGGCGTGACGAAGCACCTGAATGTTAATCCACGCGTCTCCGCGTCACTCACTCGGTAAAGATCCCCTTCGATATAGTATGAAAACGTTAACGCGCAACTTAAACAAAAGTTAAATCCGATAACTGTTATTTTATATAGTGTCTACATAGTTTTTATCAATAGTTACTAAAATATGTGGTAAGGATTAACATTTGCGGTTTACCTGCCAGGCCCGTATAAGGGAATTAGGTGTTTGAACCCTTTTCTCCAAAATGTATAAGTTAAGACATATATTTCTAATCTAAATAATATGGGTTTTAACCATAATTAATATCTAGAATCTCCTCTCCCTCCTACGAAAAAAATTCTTGATACGTACCCGAACCTGCATGGTATTTAATAGTAGACTAAATGAAATTCATCGGTGCACACGATTTGTGTCCCAAAGTAAAACCATTATTTTCCTTCCTATTTTATTCTTCAGGTCTAAGACTATCAATAGAAAATTATTTTTTAATAGTAGGTTAAAAATATTGATTTTTGTCGTTGTTATGCAATTAGAAATATGTTAATTAAATTATATGAAAAAATTAAAAGCTAAATTTAGATAAAAAAAATTATAATACTGGCGAAAACTTGAATAATTTATTTTTAAGAAAATCAAGACGATTTAACTGGCCATTTTCATATTTATCATGTAGTCATTTAGATTAACATGAATACAATTCGTACAGTCGTTTAGAAAACTCAGGACGCAATTCGTATACCTACTTATGCATTTTTTTAATTCGGAACGCAAATTCGTGTGCAGCTGATTTTATTCAATTCCACAATCGTTGACCGTAAACCTAGTGTACGCGTGTACTTGATATCTTACACTCAATGAACTCAGTTATATACAATATAATTTACAAGTGAGTTATATATTTTATACTATAAAAAGCCATAGATGCTGGTCGGCCACATAAAGAAAAAAGCGAGAGAACAAAAAAAACTATATCTAAAATTAATAAGGCCGTATAAATTCGATCTTGCGCAATTGAACCGATCCAACTTAAGTTTGTTTCTTCGTTTACATAATTTGTAATCATACCTATAAAATGATTTTTATCGTTTTATATGTCTATGTGTATAGTATTACAGTGATTTTGAGTAGGTGTACATCAATGCAGACGGAAAACGACACGATATGACTGCTCTTTTAATATTCATTACACAACTTCTGCTTGGTTTACTAAACGATCAACAAGGAATATGCATAAATCCTACAACGTTATAATGCCTTGCTACCGTGTTGAGAATTTCAAAACGACTTAATGATATTGGTTTAATTTTAGACTGATTGTTGTAATGTTAAACGCGAAATTAATTTAATCTCCACAGTTAGTTAACCGGACTTGGATTTTTTTTTTACTCAACGTTTATATTGTAATCTTTGTTTTGATTTCTGTTGTACCTCATCTCTATTATACATTAAATTTAAAAATACTCGATAAAATACGGATACCGAGTGTTAGCCTACGTCGACGTACGCACTTATCGGACGGAATACTGCTGGTGGCTAAAGCGTACACGAAGAAGTTAGTACGTCCTTGGGATGGTAGAGATCTTTTTATCAATATTAAGGTAACGGTAAGTCATTGCGATAACAAATAACTCCGAACAAAATAACCTTAAAATGTTAATAAAATAAGCAATTGGTTAATTTTTAACCTACTCGTATTAAATGTTGTACACAAGAAATTTTTAAGAGTTATCCTTGCATAAAATTGCCAAATAATAATTTAACATCAAATTACTTTTTTTTTTTTTTTAAAAAAAAACTCACTCTTGACATTTTTAGGTTTAAGTTTAATGTTATTCCCAGGTTTCTTTACAACTTATATCTTATTTTTCAAAGGAAAATTGAAAATTAAATTAGTGTTCCTTGAAAAATTTCTTGCTCAAAGAATGCTGCAAATTCATGACCCGAAAATTGTTTCAATAAAATATTTCTACAGAACAAATATATGTCTTCCATTGCTTAGAATGTGAAAGGTCTTAAGTAATAAATTAATTAAATTAGATAAATTTTAATGCTTTGTAACGTTCCAGAATTAGGCTCGCGTTCGGATCGTATAAATCGGCTTATATGTGTGTGGATATGCGCGTTGGTTTTATTATACGTTCCGCCAACTTTTTCTTCGTTGTCGACGGGCAAACCTATACAATGTTATAATACACAATACATATTTCGACTAGCTTTTGGACAATCATTATTATTTAGTATTTATTACTATTTTATTATTCGAGATATTGGCCAAAATCAAACTTCAACGGCACTCGCGTTTTGGGACTTCAGGTGAGACTCTATTGAACTCGTAGATGTTCATCGGCACTTAGCTGTTGTCTGATCTATGATAAACATGAACAAGCCCGTTACGTCCAATGGACGACCCATGGTGACATGTGGATACGTCATGTAACGAAAAATGTAGTTCGTTTTTAGTTTTACTTTTGCCGGTATTTTCATGCATGAAATAAAGTTTGAATACATTAAACATTTTATTAATTGTTCACTGACTTATCGAGCATTGATGGTCCCTCAAATGAGATTGATATTTTTATTATTTAAATCTCGTACGCCACGAGGATGATTCTGACACCTTCGTTGATTTTGTTATATTTTCATGTTTTTTTATTTTTATTCTGTTTAAGTTTTATACGGTATGTCTAAAAAATTGACACCAAAATAAAAATACTTAAAATAAAAAATATTTACAAAAAATTCAACTTTCTTAATTTTTTTTTATCGCTCGTATTCTTTATTATAATATGTTTCATTTCCTTCGAATTTATAACAGTGGTAAAATAAAATCCCGCTTGCTCTGACCAGTATCTCGACCTCGGTTTAGTCACCAATAATTTAAAGTCAACCACATACGCTCTACAAAAATATAGTGGCCTGAAATGTGTGAAACATTAAAACTCAATACTTTTTTCATTTATTAAACCGAATATTATTTTTAGATTTTAAGTTATACAAGACATTCTATAACATACTAGTTGATTTAGTAGATGCAAGAGAATTTATAATAACTTTTATTTACTTTTTAGTCAATGTTAAACTTAATTAGCTTATGTTTTTAATAAAAACGCCTAGAAATAAAATTGCTTATAATGTACCAAAATATGTTATAAAATTTTTTATTACGTTACCATCATTTATGAAATAAATATAAGCAATTTTTGATCAAGCTATTAAAAGTTAATAAAATATAATTATTTTTAGTTTTTTATAATATAGGTCGACTAGTTTATATTCTATTGTGTTATTGATTTAGAAACTATTTCAAATAATTACCTAGATCCCAAGCTCTTCCGTGTAAACGGCGTTCACTTTCAGCGATTACATACCAAATGCACGCAAACCAATGTGCGACTAATGTAAATAGAAGCATCAGTAAAGTAAGAATCATGCCTCCATATTGTGAATATCTGTCGATCTTCTGTAATAGTCTCGCTAATCTCAGAAGTCTAGTCAACTTCAATAAATGTACTTGCCCCGAACCAGCTTCCTGAAAAAAAAATATTATAACAGTTTTCTTTACTAAAAAAGTACTGTTTAATGGAGCATGCTAATTAAAATAGTCTGTAGATTATTGATTTTGAACGAACATTTATTATCTGTTGTGTTAGCCGTTTCAATTTATTTATTTCATATGTGTACTTTATAAAGCAATTTCGTAAATTAAAAACATTTCTAAGTGAAAATCAGAGCAATATATTACAGTATTTAAATTTCATATATTATCTTGTATAATTGTAACACAGTAGTATATTATAGCCAGAATAATTATTTAAGAGCTTATAAACTTATAATCTACTTATAAAAGTATATATTATTATATATACTATTATTTTATACTGAAGTATAAAATTAATAGTTAATTTAAGTGAACATTTTTAAAATTGGCCATAGCCCATAGCAGTGGCGTGCGCAGAAATTTGGTATGGGGATGTCATACATAAAAATGTATTATTTTCAATCTTTATTCTTTATTATTATAGAAAAAAAAATTCAATCAAGGCGGAAATTCATCCTTCTGGCTTTTACACTAAATTCATCAATAATTTGTTCTGTAGATAATGGAATGTCTCGATTGTATGTTCATTAACGCAATCCATTTCACTGTGACTACCTCGTCGTATTTTTTAAATACGTTTTTAAACGTTTAAGACTAAAAAAAAAAAAAAAAACATGGGGGATACATCCCCCCGCGCACGCTAGTGTTCCATAGGAACAAAAAAATAAAAAACAAAATAAATCATAAACTTATAAAATATCTTAGGGTTAGCTTTCATATATAGTTATGAAAACTTAAGTGGTTTTTTATTTTATTTTATAGAACATAAAAGCTTGTCGGACAATATTTAATATTATTTCCAATTTCCCCTTACATAGGAAAAAGGTAAAATATGTAAAATAGAAAAAAATCTATTTAAAGTACCTTCCATGCTAAATTTTCGATTTAAAAAGTTACCACTTGAAATATATTGTTGTGTTGATTTACTAACCGGAAAAGGGTAAGTAGAATTTGAAAAAAAAAAACGTTTTTCGTTTAGTTTAGAATCTAAAACATAAATGTGGGATATTACAATATGTATTTCAAATATATATATATATATATATATATATATGAGTTTTTATTTAATGCTTAGTTGTATAGAAATCAACATTTCCTTAAATTTATTTAAGTTACAATATAATAATACATGACAACATATCCTTTGCCCAACGTTGATCGCATCATATATTATATATTTGCCAGGACTTATTCTATGAATTGTTTTTAACAGCATAATTATTTTGCAAATACCAATATACATTGTTGCAATATATACTTATATACAACAGAAACGTATTATGTCAATGGTATTCTTATACTATATATATTACCTACCTATACTCGTATATCTCTTAAAAGTGATTTTTATTATGAGTTTTAATTTATATTTGCATCTAAATTTATCTATAACATAATTATAAATGATAAAATATGTTTAGATATAACATATTAAATATAGGCGTTAAATAAGCATTTATGATTTATTTAGCTTTTTAATAGTTGAAACATGAAAATGAATTTAAAAAAAATAACAATAAAAATTATTATAACACAATTATACAAAACAATTATTTTTCTGGGGATAAGTATTTGCTAAAACATTTTCTTTTTGGCACTTGATGGTGTTTCATTTTTCTCTTGTTCTTGATATTTTATGTTATTAGCTACTTCAAATATGCCTTTAAACCACGGTTCTTCTTTTGTTTTATTGGTATCTTTCATCCGCTTTTCAGTTAAATTCAGCCAGAATTGTTGATTTGATAAATTTGATAATCAATTATACATAGTTTTTTAACAGCGCAAAAAGTCATTTTTAACAGCGCAAAATTAATTCTCAAAAACGCCTTAGAATATACCCAGATTTTTGCATTTTTTCTTTAACTTCCTGGCAATGAAATATAATAAGTAGATAGTTTAAAATGTGAGAGCAGTGTAGTTTACAATTTTTGGTTAATCTATTTTTGTTAAATTGACTACTACATTGAAAGTACTTTGAATAGTATTATACCTGTTCCGTCTTCTGATCTATTTTTAAATAAATAAGATTTCCATCGAAATTTGAATGGCATGTCACGCATTATGGTAAAAATTTATTTTTTTCCATTATATTTTACATGATATTAGCTTCGTTTGGGATACACTACAAAAACATAGTATAAGATAGTAATATAGTAGGTTTATATACATCATTAGGAAGTTCATTGAGAAAAATATTATGAACGAATATTTGGCATAATTTTTTATTTAAAAAAAAAAATATTTTACCTAGAAAGATTAAATGGAAAAAATAAACGACAGTTGAATATAATATTTTAAATAGTATATGTACAAATTATATGCCAAAAAAATATATATATATATAAATTCGATAAGGTACCGGTTTCAAATATATTTATATATAGATATTAGATGTTTTTATTTTTATAAATTTGAATGATGAATAATCATCACAATGGAAAATGATTACAAACGAATTTCTTAAATAGGCACACACTTACTTAAAACACAAATACTTGTTTTAAATACAGAAGAAATTCAAAATCCAAGTTTTGAAAAAAAAAAATAATCGCCAGTACTTATGAAAGTACTCGGTTTAGTCATACATCGAACTTCATAAAAAAAATTAAACTTTTCTATCCACACACAATTTCGTATATGTAGTGGTTTAAGATTAACCTTTTATTCGATTTTACAAAACCATAAAAGATTACTTATTTTATTTAAAGAAATATAAATAGTAGAGACGTAAAATTTAACATCAGTCCTAGGTTTTTTTATCTTCATTTTTCCTTACACTTAGGAAAATTATAGAAAAAACCGAAAAATTACAACACCAGCAGAGTCCAATTTTCAATTTAAACAATTTCCGAATGAAACTTTTGGTGTAAATTTACTACGTGAAAAAGTGTGCACTGTAAAAGAAAGAAAAATAGAGAAAAACATCATTGTAAATATCAAGAAAGACATTCCTTGCTCCATCCAGAATCGTTTTCGGAAGTAACATATTACGAATTGTTTGCTTTTAAGATAATAAAATACAATAAAACAAAAATAAACAGATGAAAAACGTAACAAACATCACATCCTATTGAACTTTACCGGTATATTGAAAAGAAGGGTTCGTAGACAATACTACAAACAGATCACCACAGGGAGGAGGGTTATATGCTCGTCGATACGTATAATAATAAATTAAATACGTACAGGAAAACACGACGTATCTTCGAGAGGGCTTCTGAGATGTTTGATAATATACATAGGACAAAGTGTATGCCAATTTCCGCATACATCTACCCATAGAACGATCAGAGGTAAAACTCGGCCAACTAGAGGATTTGGATGTGATCGGAGTTTACCCATAGAGGAAAATGTACGTATAGTATTTTTTTTGTCAAACGATTTGCATTTCCCACATTTAGGTTATTCCGATAGGAGTTATTTGAAATATACCAAAGAGACCGAATGACATAAAGATAAATTAATTTGAAAGCTTCATTGATATGCATTTTAGAAAGTTAGCATTATCATTAAAATATGTAGATGTCGTATGCCTGAGTGAGCTTGAATGACTTGAACCTAATTATTTTTATTCGGATAAAATATGTACAGCACAGTATGGGACGTATTAAATGTAATCAACCGTTCAATAAGTTATGTGCGGCTTATAAATGTTGACACCAAGTTAGCCTAGTTACGTAAAATTAATTATGATTATTAGACATGAAATAATATTATAGTGTCAATGCACCTCAAAAATTGAAACATGTTTAATTTTAAAAGTACATTTTTTCAAATAATAAACTCGAATTCGCAAAGAGTTTTGATATGTATTTTATGTTTAGATACTTTATTTAATATTTTATTTGAGAATAAGATTTTAAGTTTCAGACAGATGATATTGATGTAAAATTTCAATAAGATTATTATAAAGTATCGTACTAACTGTATATAACATTTAAGTACTTAGTATTAATTAAGAACATAAACATTTTGTGTAGGTGTTTAAAATTCAAAAAAATATTGCAGTTGATTCTTTAACAAATATCGATTTTTAAATTTAATGATTTATCGTTGCTTTATAATTTATTTTAAGGCCGTTTCCACACACACCGGTAAAATTGGAACCGGAGCCGCTGCCAATGCCGGATACAATGTAATTGAGTTGGTGCTTTCACGCATAGTCCGGACCGGAAAATTTATCGGCCCGCCAGACCAGCGATTCTCAAACGTTTGGGTTGCCATATTAGTCGCCAATAAATAAAATAATAAATTAAGCGTTTTTTGTAAATATCATCGTGATAATTATTGTTGAGAATTTTAATTGATAATCATTTAAGATTGCTAATCAAAATGTTAAGTTCACCAAATTAATAAAATATGTAAAAGGGTCGCTCAAAATGTTGATGACATTACAGGAGATGACGGCCTCAAAAAGATTGAAAACTACTGCATTAAATGACTCTAGAATATGCAGTCGGAGTTGAATTTGATAATTTGAGTGCCGAACCCATCTCCAACTGATTGATTTCAATGCATTGGAGTATCCTAATGTTGTATACTATACTCTGTTTGGCGAGAGAACGCAACTCGTTTACGTATTCCCACTATTTTTCAGTGCGTTTGCTCAGCCGTGTCCACCATGCAACTATCGATATGTGAAAGCGCATAAGTGATTACTCTGAAAAGTTGTAGGAATGCGTAAGAATAGACGAGTTTTGGTTACCACCCAAACAGTGGCGTATTGATAATGTTTTTAAGGAGCGGCCACTTCATCAATATTCTGGTGCGGGGAGGTGGTTAATAGTTAGGTGGATATTGTTTTGTTTATACAAAAAATAAAATTGTTATTTCGTAATCACTAGACATCAATTGACTACATAATATATAAATATCACAACATATAATAGTATAATAATATATATGTACTGTATAATACGTAATAGTGTAGT